ATTGGAAACCGTTCTCAATCTCAATGCACAATATGAACTGGACGCAAAGGTCGGAATACAGCATTCACATAGTTTTGTCTACGGATCGGAAAGATGATGCCGACCATGCTGATTACACAATACTGCGCTGAATTGTTGTGAAAAGGGAGATCAGTTAAACAGAACACCAGCAGATAGCACTGGCGTGGACAAAAATCAAGCGAAAGAAAAATTGTAAGTTTAAAAATCGATCAGTAGATAGCACCAGGCAACGAGATTGCTACCTCCCTGTCAGACTGCTGGGCGGCGGCCGTTAGATGCCATTTGCCGAACCCATGTTGCCATTTCAACACTCATTGGCAGCGATTTCTATGTCTGTAAGTTCCGTAACAACACTGCGTTTAGGACACAGAGGCGAGTGTCCGCAGCCAATGAAAATCGTTCTACGGAACAAGCGGGAGTTTGAAAGCTAAAGATGCGTTCGATTCAAAAACAACCCTACAGACCTTGAGATTATTTTAGACAGCGAAAGAGAAGAAATACTGATCTCCGTAGGGGGGCAGTGTCCCTAGCGCCTCCCTGCCGCAGCCGCCACTGATTATAAGTATCATTAGTAAAATAGCATTTTGTTAGTTGTAGTTTATTTGGAGGCGATATTTTTCCGCATTTCTATCTGATTTTGTGATATCTGTATTGCGATTGTGTGGAAAAGGTTAATTGAATACTTTTTTTAGTGTAGTAATACTTTGAATTTTTGTTCTTGTTTGGTTAATTTTTGTCGTAAAAATGGAGTTTGTTTTCGTGATTGAAGATTTATTGTGGGGAGAGAGAATGCGAGTTGTCCCAACAGCATTAAAACTTTCTTTGTATTTGCTCATTAAGCTCTTTCAACTGGAGAGAAATTGCGCGTCGTCTATGCATTCTTTCCAACATCAGGTGAATCCATGACCGAACAAGAATACTACCACACGCTCGCAACACCACGACATAGACGGAACGAAATGAAATCAAAACAACTCGTTTCCTACAGCTGACTGCGAGAATACCCACAATGCATTACAAAATAGTTGCCAACCGCGCATTTTCACGACTGCTCGCGAATCATGGGATCCGGATTAACTACGAAGTCTCAAAACGTTGGTGAAACGCACAGGGATCAAGTCGGCCTTGACTCCGCGGATCAGGATCACGAAACTCGGATCAACTACGAATTTGATCCTGGTTGGTGAAACCCGCCCAAATAGCGCTAAAGTTCAAACATTTGAACATCGCATCTGTGGTAACATGTTAAGTTATATTAGAACCGAGCACGGATGCGACAATATTAGAATACAGTACATAACTTATTTCTCACTACATAACCACATCACATTACAATTCAACTCATCAGAACGCTCTCAAGCAACTATAAATTGAACATATCGCTTCAAAAGCATAACAAACCACAGAAAGTCCGGTAAAGTGCCGCCAGGAGCGCGGTACTCAAAATGGATGAAATCTGTACCGAAAAATTCAGCATGCGTCATTTTTTCGTACAAATTACATCCAGTCTAGTCTGTATCTTTTCTGAACCGGCGAAAAATGATGAAAAAATGATCGTGTAAAACAGGCTTAAATAAGGACGCAAATCTACCCGATAATTTTTGGATAGAGGTGGTTAACACTGCGAACTACTTTCGCAATCCTACCATCAAAGAATTTAAATGGCAAGACGTCGTTCGAGGCGTGGACCGGCGAAGCTCCAGATGCCTCCGATCTCAAAATATTCGGCAGCAAGATCTATTACTTGGAAGCCGTGGGAAAGTAAAGTTCAACTGCCGCGGACAAGAGGGAATATTTCTGGGATGTGACGAGCATTCATAACTAGCGACGTAAAATTTTTCGAATACGTCAGATCGGACGAAGAAGCTATATTCAAGTGAATCCAGTGAAGATCGATGCCCGGCAAGATCCCAACGTCAGTTCGAATTTTCACTGGAGCCTGCGAAACCTGTCGTGGAACCCTATCAAGTGTCCACTACCTCTGATAACGAGGATATTCTCGGCTTTTATGTTCCTATCCAGGCAGAAGCATCCTCGTCAGTATAAGGCAACTTAGACATCGCTGAACGTAATGATCCTGGGAGGCATCCTAATCGACGTAGGAGACGCGGTCGACCAAGAACAATGAGGCCTGGTTCGAGGGGAAGACCGAGAAGAAAGTACCACTCCGTTTTGCGTGAGGTCGAAGACCCAAGTGAAGAGCAATTATTTGTCTGGAGAGTCCTCAAAGAGGCGTTAAGTGTCTCAGACGCGAAAGAATGGCGACAGACATTGTGGCCGAAATCAAGTCCATCCTAAAAATGACACTTGGAATGTCATAGATCGTCCACCAGGGCAGAAAGTTATGGGATGTATAGTTCCCAGAAACAAATTTAATCCCGATGGAGCGTTAGAGAAGAGAAAAGCGCGACTGGTTACCCGAGGGTTTAGTCAGCAGCCAGGAGTTCATTTCTCGGAGACACTCGCACCTGTGCTCCGGGGGCTAAAAGGTGAATCTGGGGGAAACTAGACACCCCTTCATAACATTTTAAAATTGACTTTTTGTATTAGTGAATTTGATCATCAATGTTGGTAGAATGAGATTTGACGGTTTATTTTTGCGGCTCATGTTTGCGACCTTGAGAGCACGATTTTCTTGCCATATCTTCAAGGAAGCGCTGCGCGAGTTAGTCGTTAGCCGAAAACGAAGATGACCTGCAATAGATTCTCCATGAATTTAATAAAATCTGCAGAAACTATGATTTCACGATCTCTACCCAAAAACTAAAAGTTTAACAACTGAGAAAGAGCCTATTCGATGTGGTGAATGATAAACCAATAGAGCAAGTGTTAGAAACAAAATACTTGGGGATAGTGATCACAATCTCAAGACAGATAAATAAGGGGGAAAAAACAAGTCACGAAAGGAATAAGAATTGGCTGCTTTAATTACTCAGTGTTACAACAAATATTTGAGATAAGACTCAAAAGTAAGAATATATAAATCAGTAGTTAGACCAATTTTAACATGTGCAGCAGAGACACGAGGTGCAACAAAAAGCATGCAACGTCAGCTAGAAGTGGCAGAAATGCGTGTTTTGACGAAAATTTTTAATAAAACATACGTGGGTAGAGTTCTTGTGATATTTTAGAATGTGCTTTAATTTTTTTTTCCTATTGATTATCTTAGTTACTGATATTAAAGTGAACACTACTTTCAAACTTTTCTTTACATTTTAAAAAATTAATACATTCATTATTAACAATAAACATTAATCGACAAAATGAAGTATATTTAATCAGCTTCCAAACCATAACAACCCATTCCATACCCATATACCCTTTAAATCAATAGATTTATGGCCAGTCGTCTACATTCGCCATTTAGCCCTCTGCACTGTGTCTCAAACAGGTACTATTTGACTAGTTGCAGCTCTTGCGGCCAGCCACAGAATGACAATACGTCAATTAGACGTTGAAACCGCATATCTCCACATAGTTCTTGAAGAAAATATACGTGGAGCCACCAGTGAATTTTAAAGAAATTCTGCAAGATACCATAAATTCTGAAGGTGGAAATTGAGTTGGAGAGAGGGCAAAGATGATGATCAAATGCCTCTGCAAATGTGACAAGGTATGCCATTTGAAGAAATCCTTGTACGGGCTACGCCAAGCTGGGGGAAGAAGCTGGTACAGGAAACTGAATGCAACAAAGAAGATTTGGACTTCATCAAGCACTGCCTGGGGATCGAATCTATTTTATTGCATCTCCCTTCCACCTTACCCCACCCCTATCTGGCATGCTTCTGTCTGAAAGTACCTAGTCTTCCATACTCTCTAAAAAATATTTATAAATATTGTTTTGGGGGTTCCCGACACCAAATTTCATTCACTTGATAACTACAAATAATAAACAATTCAAAACCAATCAAAATAAAATACTTGTATTAACTTATATTCTTTTTGTGGAATTTTATATCTTATTCCCATACTTCATTTATTTATTTAATTATTTAGCGATCTGAAATGAATTAAAAAAATGTTTCTGACAGTTTTGTATTGTTTCCCATAGAACTCAAATCTACAGAACAAATTGCAGGTTTTTATTTCATATTTCAAAGTTCATCCCTGCCGCAACCACAGGGGCAGTGGTGAAGAACCCACGATTGCTGTCATTGAATAGGAGTCCTTCTTTGTCAAAACGGTCAACAAAATATCAAAGATTCAGAAATCGTGCAAATAATTATATTTTTAGATTTTACGTGATATCAAATATCACAAGTAAATTGAAAAATAAAGATCAAAAAGTTAAAAGGAATTTTTTTCAAACATTAAAACAATACACAAGTTCACTGATAAACACTATTTGTTTTCTTGCTTTGTCACACGATATGCTAGCTTAAAGTCCCAGTTTCGTCATTTGAGGACAACCTAATTTCAGGGTTCAAAATCAAAAATGTTAGCATTTCTGTACTGATATATTTATGAGAATGTAGTGATGGTGTAATGGTTAGCGTATCGGACTGTTGTACCCAAGTTTGCGGGTTCAAACCTGATCGAAGCTGTGGATTTTTAAGGGTGAAAAAATCCTTTGTATGCCTTCCTTCGAAGGGGAAGTAAAGCCGGCTGTCCCATGTTAGTAGATTTACATGCATGTAAAAGATCCTCAAGCCTAAATGACGCCTCTGAGCTAAATTCTAATCGCCTCTTTCTTGCCCAAGAAATACCTCCTTTCTTTGCTAGTTGGTAAAAGGAGCGTAGTGAAATTTGCGTGGTCAGAGCGGGCCTGATGGCCTGAGTCTCGCCACTTAAAAGAAGGCAAATTCAATTCAATTCAATTCTTGGTCTAATTATAAAACTTCATCAAAATATTCTACTTGTAAATTACCTTGGGACTTAATGAGTTAAAACAAGAAAAATAATTTTTTTGGAGCATTATTTTTATCTAAATTTAATTCAATTTTGTAATGATTTTAATAAAAATTTCAAGTATTGTTGTATCAAAAAATTTCAAGCAAAGACTGTACACCCAAAGATTCATCTAATATTTTTTTCACACTCTACTGATGTGGAGCAATAAAAAAATTGTATAACAAAAATATTTCAAGTTCCCTGCGAGGTCATAGAGGGCATTAATGGGTAATAACACCCTCATGAACTGCACTGAATGTATTTTTTTACCCTAGTCTGGGGGGTTTAACACAATGAGTACATCATCTGAGGATACAAATGAAATTATAAAAATTAATTACTTGAAAGTAGACTATTATTTTCTTAGATCAATGGCTAACAATCTTACAAATCTTAATAGGGAAAACTTTTCTTCACATGTTTATTTCAGTCTGTGGCCTCATACCTTCATCACTCTGTCCAGCAATATATCCACTGCTCGAGATACATTCTGTCCAGTAGCTGCACTAGTCTCCAAATATGGAAGGCTGTAAAAAAATGTTTTACATGAACATGCAAAAACTACAATAATAGCCTAATTACCTACATCATGCTGTAACAATCACAATAAATTATTGAATGAAATCTTGAAATGACAATTCTTTTAACTTCATACCCATATTTTTCAGCTGTTTCTCTTGCTCTTTGTTCACTAATCACTCTTCTTTCTTCAAGATCACATTTATTACCACACAATACAACATCTGGATCATCACAATAGGCATGCGTCTGAAAACGGAAATCCATTAAGAATGAAAATGCTTTTCTAAGCTGGAAATTTATATATAATACAAAACTTCAACAATGAAAACTTGCCTTATTATTAATGTTATTTAAAAAGACAGATTTCATGCATTTGAAAAAGGAAATTAAGCTTCTTAAGTTTGACACTACAACAAAAGTAAAAAACTACAACCAGAGCCATTAAAATTCATACCCGTAACTGATCAAGCCAGTTCCTTATTTCCAAAAACGACTGCTCACTAGTCAAGTCAAAAAGAAGTAAAAATCCCATTGCATCCCTGTAGAATGCTGTGGTTAGGCTACGAAATCTATACAAGAATAGTAAACAGGCCTTAATTAATGAAATACATTCTTCAAAATACACACATTCAACAGGAATTCAACTTTCCAACCATGTCATTTTGACAGAAACAGACCCACAAGCATATAGAAAACACCAAAACAGAAAATTCACAGAGTACAATGATTAATTACACCAGTAAAAAAGAATTAGCAATACACAAGACAGATATACAAAAAACAAAAAGTGAAATGCTGTATGGTCAAGATAAGTGTGAATTTTGAAACGGCTGAGAAAAATTAACATTATAAGTACTTTAAAAATCATCCAGTGACTGTGAATACACCTCATAATAATTATTAAATTTATGATCATTTAGTCACTTGTGTTATATTGCCATGTTGTAATTGAACATGAAACAAAACATATAAACTAAATTGTCACCCACCCCTTTCACAAGTTATTTAAAAACCTGTACTATTTTTCTTTCATTACTAAAATAATATTCGTCAATGAATTTGGCAAAAAACACTGTACAGCAAAGACTATCTAGAATAACCTAGCTAATTAAAAATATGATGGATTAGGGGAAAATGCATGTATTTCAAAGTGTTGACAAGACCATCCACCACTACATTATATCTTAAATTATTAATAAAGAGACCTTTCTTCTTTCTTACAAATAAAAAAAAAATATAGGTATATCCAGGGCTAGATTTGTGGCAGAACACAACAGAACAATTCCAATACCTCAAGAATACTTATTATAGAATAAACATATAACCATTTCTCTTAAATTATTATTATTATTAAATCTAATTGGAGGGCGCGTTCTGGGATCTAAAATTTTATAAATCAAGCACTGGGTATATCTAATAAACTTTGTGTCATCTAGATTACAAAATAATTCAGCATCTTTGTAGTGTCAATTTTTGCTATCTCGAACCACAAGATAATGGTGCATAATATGATAAAGTGTTAATAACATTCACGTTTTTAAAAACTTGTATTAATTTTTACTTATTTTTAATGTTTCAGTAAGCCTAAATCACACAAAAATACGAAGGGCAAATACTTCCAGTGACAGAATTAGGGAGATATCAAAGCTGTTAGTAAATCTAACAAACCTCACACTTATTAACCATTCACATTACCTTTCTTGGCCTGCTGTGTCCCAAAGTTGCAAATAAACACGTTGGCTTCGGCTTTGGGCACGATACACCTACAAAAAGTTTGCCAGCAACAGTAAATCTTCAAATTTAGTGTAAAAATAGAAATTAAATAAATTCTTTAAAAATTCCACAACATACTTACAAGTCTTTTTTCCCTAAAATCAATCCCCACAGTGGAAATAAAGCGAGAATTGAAAATGCCATCTGTGTACTGATACAAAAAACTAGTTTTCCCAACACCAGAATCTCCCAAGGCCAAAAATTTAATCAAATAATCATAGTCCATCCTGAAACGTAAGTTTACTAAATTAGTCATCTTTCATTATTCGTATGGTTATGGGATTACATTATCCTGTTAAATATTTACTACCCTGTAAAAATAAAAATACATAGAATTCCATGTATGTAATTGTGAACAGTAATATTAAATATTAGGCAGCCTTGAATAAAGTCATTCTACAACATAAAATTAATGGACGAAAGCATTCGATTGTTCTAAGGATCAAAATACGCGGGTTACGAAGTCGTACACTGCAACTAAACTTTAGAATTCTTCAAATATTAAGAAGACAATTTGCATATTTTGAGATACAGCATTTTTTTATTGTTCTATTTTTCAAAAATAACAACTTGTATTTGAACACAATTTCTTTTCAGTATTTGATTTTTTGCATACTAACATACACGTGCCGTTTGAAACTACCTGTTGCCGAACAAGCCTACCTGTTGGCAGATCGACATGGAAGCCATTAGAAAGCAAGTCGAGACACGGAAGTTCGCAGTCGCCGGCAGTGAATGTGACACGTGTTGAGGCTCTTTGACTATGACAAACACAGGTACACAAAGTAAATACCTATTATTCGGGGCATTCCCTGATCATTGCATCCAATCTTCATAACTTCCCACCTGACATTCAGATTTTTTTGAAAGTTCATGAACAAAAAGCTCCAAAATGTATAAGACATTTACAATATCACGAGTATCAATCTTATTTACTGTTTTTAACTGTAATAAGATTGAGACAACCCGTAGAAAATGACATTAATCACCAATAGGCCGAGACGGCAAAAGTCTGTCCTATGAGCAACGGTAGTGGTTACACCGTTCAGCTGAATTTCTCCAAAGTTGATATTTCCCAATCGATCTAGCTGATGTCGTGGCGCCTTGGATTTGAAACATATTTTAATATTGGGGGTGTTTTACATGAGGCCCCTGAAACATTTTCTTTTTTTTTTCACAATAAAAAAAGGGACTTTAACTTTTTTTATTTTTATTTTTTAGGATAGTGTGAAAGACGTTTAAGAGAACGGTGTAGGCCACATGCTCGTTGAAAACATTGATTTTTTGAAAATCGCAAAAGTTTAAAATGTTTTTGGCGTCTTCCCATAACTAAAATATTAGAGGTAGAGATGTTTCCCTTAATAAAATCTGTTCCTTAAAGATAGATTTAAAAAAATGATTCACAATTTTTCGAAAATTTGAGTACTTTTCACGTAATTTTGCGTGAAATGTAGGCAATTTTTAATTGTATTTAAACATATTTTTTCTCAAAAACGGCACATCTTTTTATTTAATTTTGACCTCAGAAATGCGTATGGGACGATTAAGAGATTGGTGTAGGTCTCATACTTGATGAATATTCTGATTTTTGAGTTATATAAATTCAATTTTTTCGGCGTCTTCCTACAACTACATTGCTCGTATTATGCAGATAAACAATTTTCTTAGTGAAATGTGTTCATCAAAAATAGATCTCCAAATAATGTCATATACAATCTTTCGAAAAAACTAGTATGTTTACGAAATCTTGCGTCAAAAATTGGCAATTTTTATTTTCTTTAAACCATTTTTTTTTCTTAAAATTTTTTCATGAAATGTTGACCATGGCGGAAAGGTTGCTTAAAGAAAGGAATAGGTCTCATAATAATAATAATAATTTATAATCCATATTTTAGTTCATATTGCGAGGAATGTAAAAATCCTTGATTTTCCGAAAATTGAAAAAAAAATCGGCTTCTTACAACTTTTTTTTAAACGAAATGTGTTCATAAAAATCAGATCTTTAAAAATTATCATGTTGAATTTTTCGAAAATATCAGTATTTTTTGTGTATTTAGTATCAAACACAGTCGCTTGGGAGATGCTTCGAGGCAGTTGGATACTACGTGAGTAAAAATTTGTACAATATTTCATATTTCTTTGTTTGTTTCTTTCGTCATACATTTTCAAATTAATCTTTTAGAAATTATTTAAAACTCATTTTATAATCTATATTATAGTACGAGTTGCGAGGAATGTATTTGCATTTTCAATATATTGATGCATTTTCTTTCAAGCAATCCCTTAACCTTAATTCAAATTAGCCCACCTAAGTTTTCTCTCTAAAAATACGATTTACGACGTAATACGAATGAAAAATTGCTTATCTTCAGGAAATATCATATTTGAATGCAACAATGGCATTCTGCCACGCGAGACAGCAGCTGTAGTTCTGTGAATTATGTCTCTTTGTTGGGACATTAGCTGACGCAGTTATAATTGTCAAATTTGTGTTGATATTTGCTTTAAAATATTTAGTTTTCGCACTCAATGTTCTACGATTTGTAATGAGTTGTACAAAAATGATGACTGAGATTTGTTCATTCGGAGAGAAATCGCAGTCTAAATAGTATAGAGATGTCCAGAATGACGGCACAGCCTTTGATGGGAAAGTGTTGGTTGGCAACCTATGCTGTGCGCGTAGTATTCTAGTCAATTGGTACTCAAAAGGGCACGATCCAGAAAAAATACTTCGGAAAATACTTTCGATCAACGGTTCTATATCGCACCTTCAATAGAAAAGTGACACAAGTGCGAAATCGTCATTTTTCAGTTAAAAGCTGATAAGAGCGTACCAAGAGGTACTGCTACTATTCAGAAGTTGATTTTGAATTAGGTTAATTACTGTCCGCTAGATGGTAAATATTTGGTACAATGTATAACGAGTATTACAGAACTACGAAACTTAAAATTGCAATTTCTGAGAAATCAGAATTTGATGTTTGCCATCTCAAAAATGTGTGCTTAGCAGAGAAAATTGAAGGAAAAAAAACTAAAAAAATTCGCCGTTTTTAGTTGTTTGCTTGTATCTTCAAAATTATGCGTTTGATCCAAACAATTATTATTTAAAACGTTAAAGTAGATACAATTTCCTACTTGCTGCTTACCTAAACTTTAAATTTCTGAAGAATGGTTTAAGAGCTAGAGTGCACTGTAAAATGGTTACTTTTTGGGCTTCTGACCAAATAGCTATTTCCAGACAACATATCTCGCGGCTGCGTTCTAGTTTCACTTTATAAAGCTTGACAGCTATTGTGATCACTCCAATACACATATAATCTGTAGGGACGTTTTTGCTCGCGCGGAATAGGCCAATCTATAAATCCTTGAAAAATACGTTAGGGACACGTGCTATAACTGTTTTTGGATGTGGATGAAAATTACCTTCAGTCACTTTTATCAATTCTTCAATTGTAAATTAGTATTTCTTGTCTCTGTTTGCAAGAAAACTAAAAATAGTTTGCATCGTTGATTCTACATTATCTACTGTGCATCCAAACATTTGATTACAGTACGGATCCTTATGGAGTAGTGCCCTCTCTATCCAATACAATTGTACATAAAACTCTCCCTTTATACCGCAAGCTGTGTTGCCAAATCACAAGGCTCGGGGTCATTCGGCTCGTCCATCCTGTTTCACGCGCAAATATTTAACATGTTTACCCAACGATAGCTTCAGTTGTATTGATCTTAACACATGGATGAGACAAAACTCGCTAACCCTGACACACTCAAGCTAACTCGTCACCGCCACCGCCACCACCAAATTCTAGAAGGATTACTTAGGGAAAGAATCCAAACCCAACTGGAAACAAACAGACTACTTTCAGACAGACAGTTTGGCATCCAAAAACGCAGATCCACAGCAGACGCCATCCAACTGGTTGTGAAAACTGCAGAAAAGACTCAAGAAGAAAAAGGCTTCTGCGCGTTAGTCAGCATTGACATTAAAAATGCATTTCATACAGAGCATTTAATGGCACGATATAATCTCCGCCCTAAAGGAAAAAAAGACCCCCGGGTACATCCTTGACATAGTTCGAAGCTACATCAGCGGTAGAACAGTAAAATACGGAAGTAAGGAAAAATACTTACACATAAAATGACCTGCGGTGAGCATGGTTGGCGTCCAAGCATGGTTGGCGGAGAAAGGACTGTAAATGGCTGTCGGCACGACAGAAGCATAGTTACAGACAGAAGATCGTTTACCCCCCCCCCCAAGTCCAAAATTGGCATAGAAAATATATCCTGCCAGAAATCCCTCCATTACCTGGGAATGAATATAGATGACAAGTTCAGCTTTGGTCCACAGGTAATCGCGGCAGCCGAAAGAGCTCAGGGAACGGCATCTGCACTTTCGAGGCTCATGCCAAATGTAAGAGGACCGAGCGAATGTAAAAGAAGAATGCTCATGAGTCATGCACTCAAAACTGCTGTATGCGGCACCTGTTTGGGCTGAAAAAGCAAAAAAACAAAAATCTTCGGACGAAACTGGAGGAAGGGTTCAAAGGAAGGGTGCTCTACGAATCACTTCCGCCTAAAGAACTGTCTCGAAAAGCGCGGTGTTAGTGGTAGATAGTGTCCCGCCCATTAGTCTTTTAGCACTGGAACGCAAGGAGGTGTACGACCTAATGAAGGGAGACAATGCAGACGTAGTCAAACGCGCAGCCACTAAGAAAGAAGCTCGAAAAAAACTAATGGACCGATGGCAAAATTCCTGGCAAAAAGAAGTAACAGGTAGATGGACATACAAACTGATACCAAACCTTTCAAAATGGGTTTTAAGAAAACACGGCTGTTTCCTACCATCTAACATAAGCTCTTCAAGGTCATGGATCGTTCAAATCTTACTTAAAAAAGATTTGGAAAAGCAGACTGCGCTGCCTGTGACTACTGTGGCTACAATAACGACCACGCAGAACACACACTCAACTGCCCAACATGGACAAATGAAAGGATCGTCGTCACCACAAAGCTCGACAGCCCAATAACTCCCAACAACATAACATTAATGACAAAGACCTAGACAAATTGGTCACTAATCGAAGAGTATACGAACATTATGATTAAAAAAGATCAAAGAGATAACACACGCAATAATGTAAATTAATGACACTGGTTAGCAAGCTTGGCTTTATCCTAAAGTAATGCGAAAGCGGTCCCGGGGTGGAACAGTCAAGGACCATAAAGGGTTTGTGGTTTTAGTGGGTAAAAATCTCACTCTACCGAGGAGAGCGGTCCCTCCGAGGTGTCTTTCAAAGATTTCCACAGTTCCTCGTAAAAAAAAGTAGTAGTAGTGGTAGTTAATATAATTGCTTTTTATTAAATGTCGTTATTGGATAGTTTACATGATTTTTAAAACTCTGGAGGATGTATGATATAGTTGAGGTGCTGTATTGTCACTCTCTTGCGTCAACTGGAACTCTTTTGGCTTTCGAGTCCAGGCTCTCATTTTCTCTTCTTTACTTACCTCCTCTTCTCTCCCTGCACCCGGCTCGCTTGGCTGTGAGAGGACGGGTCGTGTCCCACCCAAAGGTACGTCCCGAGGGGCGTGTGGCCAAATGAAAGAGAATAACTTTTTTGTACGCTGGTTTATTAACTCTAGGTCGTTACATGTTAGGTACGAATTGTTACGTTGGTTTTTCTTTAACTTCAATCAAATCAGATAAGGTTAAACCTTAAGACTTGCATGAGAGAAAAACTAGTCTTGCTCGCTCTAGCACTAACTTACCATACCGACAACCCACATGGTTGCCCCGCGCAGGTCTCGACTCGTCTCTACCTACTCTCGTCCAATTCTCCTTCCTCAGCACTTCACCTTTCCGCACTTCTCTTTCTGCGTGGGCAGCTGACGCGCCTTTTCGCTGGCGACTTAGCGACCAAGCTGTGCGGTGCGCGGGGGCGGGGCCCGAGCTGCGCGCTTAGTGCTGAGCATGTCTTGTAACTTTTCCATAAGGGCTTCGCGGAATCTGACATGCTTTTCAAAATGGAAATAAGTTTGCTCACCACTTTTTATAATATAATTCTCCATCAACCCCATGTCCGAGAAAATATATTGTATTTTTCTGTTAGTTCTTTTACTTTCTCACTACAGAGTTGAGAGAAAGTTATGTAAGGTTGCGCGAAATAACAGCGAATTTTCGGCAGAAAAACTCACATTAGAGGGCCTTGGAAGCGAAAAAGTGGATAAATCCAGATGCTAAATTTAGAAATAAAGTCATCTAAGAGCCCCTTCACACGACTCCACAACGGAGCGCTTTCGAACGCCGCGGCTTGTAGCAGAGCAATGGTTTGAATGGAGATCTTCCCACGTGCGGCGGCGGCATCTCGCTACGAGAAGCGCATGAGGGCTTACGAGCCACTGCTAGGTGAACACAGATGAGAACAATGATGGTATTCCCACTACGCCGCCGGTCGCAGAATATTACCTGCTGCGGTCCCTTTGTTGGTCGTCGAAACCTACCCTTGTAAAACCCACCCTCCTCCACGGCGGCAGCGTGGGAAGTTCATTCGTGGATGGTTCATTGTTCATTATCGGAAGCGTGCCGCTATGGCGACGCGTGAAGGCGTCCTAACACGTGCTGTAGCCAGAATACTTGTTTTGCTGGTCCTTGAAACCGAAAAGTTCAATGACTGCAAAATATATCCATCCGTCTGTGAACAACGCTAGCGGCTAAACCATTCAGCCTATTTTCTCCAAAATCGATTGAATTCCCCAATCGATCTGGTTGATGTCGCGGTCTTTTGAATTTGAACCCGATATTTTAATTGTTGGGGGTACTTCGCATGAAGCCTCTGGGACATTCTCAAAATCGTTGTTGATTAAATTTTATAGTGTGAAGAGACAGTGTGTATAGTGTTTAAGAGAATGGTGCTGGTCTCATTTTTGTTGGAAAGACTAATATTTCGAAATTTCAAAATTTTTTCAGTTTTCCTGAAACTAAAATATTGACTGGAGTCTGTTCCTTAAATATGGATTTTGAAATAAGGCCATTCGCAATTTTTCGAAGATTTGAGTACTTTTCGCGTAATTTTGTGTGAAATTACGGGCGAGAAAGTTCGTGTTTAGAATGGATACAAATAGTAATGCTGTTCAATGCCTAAAAACTGTAAAATTTAGAATTTTAACCCTTCAAGAAGTGCGATATAAATGCTCGTGGTACAGAACATATCTCAATTCATTTTCTATTCTTGCAAGCAGCTCCCCCTCCCCATTAATTAAAGGAAGCAGCCGCCACTAGGTGCGACTCCCGCCGTCCCATTAAACTGGGTATATCTTCATTAATTTTCTGGTAGTACAAACAAAAATTCAGGTATCAAAAATCCGGTACAAACGATTTACAATGTTTTCAATTTTTCACGATGGTAGCGGTGCCAGTGTGAAGTTGGCACCACCACAATAGTGTAACGTATTAGCCAGCGTGCCTCGTGGCATCTATTTGGGGACGCTTGGTAAGGGATTAGTAAGAGGAAACTCCTCTCCACAGGAAGGAGAGAAGGGTTTTTCCTTAAAGCAAGAACGCGAAAACGGGAGACACAAGGCTTTGGGGTCTTCAGAAACGGAGACCCGAACCCTTAATGGTTAGCATAGAACCGCGGTGGGGGCGGCGTGACGTAGGTCACGTGGGCCTCGAGTATATAACGGAGTGCACAGAGCCAGTGGGAGAACCTTTCAAAATGAGTGCCTCAGGGCCGCCCTCTGCGCCCCTAGAGACACTCGTATAGAAACTCTACATCGC